GAAAACTCGTACACGTCCAACTAGTATTTGTACGATTGTTATGTGACCTACAGTGCTTACCATGACTATGTTAGATCATGAACTATTGTTTTACGATAATTTGGTCCTAGGACCTAGCTATTGGGTCACACAAACTTTTTGGATTGACCAGATATCTTGTAGGAACATTTAGGTCATAACCCATACTTATAAACGAACCAACAAGGTTTAGGGTCTACTTGTTGGTACACAGGAAATAGTCGTCACCCGCAAGGAACCATAAAAGTATAGAATGTACATTACTGAGGTAGCCTTGGTTAAGCCGAGTGGGTAGCCATAACCTTATACTTTCCAAACCAAGGAAGGTATATGAACAGGTAATTTATTGTTCTAGCTTGAAAAGTAACAAACATATAGTTATGGTTCCTAAACAAGTAATCCACTGTTCTAACTTGAAAATGGCAACGAACAAGTAGTTATTGTTCCTAGACAGGTAGTTTACTGTTCTAATCTGAGGAGGTGTAAGAATACGAAGTTTATTGATTTAGCCTGAGAAGGCAAAGTGATGTTGTTCGACATCCCTAGAAATAATCTTCCGAATATAACTCGGTAGGTAGTCACGTTGAAGTATGAATAATATTATAAGAGCAAAGGGGCTCATTCATACTTAAGAAAGTACTCTAAGGCCTTTCCATGGGCCACAATGACCCAAGGTGCAATTAGGACAAGGTTCACGACGGACCTAGGTATGAACTCCGAAAAATGCAGAGTCAACGTGCCTAAAACCATCCAGATATGAACCCCGAAGGTGATAAAGTACTCCTTAGAGAAGGTATGTGTATGGTTTAGGTATCTAAGAACCTGAAAAAGGGTAGCATAGACCTCGAGCACAATTTTGGCTAACTATAGGGATTGTTTGAATATATATGTTCAAAATATGAGTATGGAAATAAGTCAGATGAGAGCTTACAAGTAGGTTACTGACGGAGTATTTTAATAATCACTCATACCTTCATTTTCAAGTAACCAGTAGATCACACTGTTGGATCGGTATGGCAACCCTAGAGGGGGGTGAATAGGGTTTTATCGATAAAAGTGTTTAAACTTGATTAATTTTTCTAATAATGAAACTTTTTACATATAAGTAGAAGATGATAATTATTAAAACAAAATAATTCAAGTCAAAACAATAATCAAGTAGAACATGCAATAAATCATAATAATAATCTTAAAATTAAATAGGAAAGAGTTAGAGAAAATGACACCGTAGTTTTATAGTGGTTCGGTCAAATTCGACCTACTCCACTCCCCAAGCGCCTCTTGGGAATTTGAATAAAGAACTTTTCCGACTCTTTCCACGGATCAGAGCCAAACCGGTACACCGCTCTTTTTACGAGTTCAAGAGCAAACTCAATCCTTTCCACGGTGCAGGATCAAACCGATACAAGTATTTGAGTTTGATAATATCACACCACAACTCTCTCAAAGAGTAGATTTACAATTTGGGATACTCACAACTATTTCCTCACATTATAATAATAATCCCTCTCAAGAATAAGATGAAAGAAAAATAAACTTGTAAGCTTGGAGAGAGCAACAAACAATGGAGACTTTGAACAAATGAGGATTGGAGAATGTATGTAAGTTGTGTGTTTTAAAATGTGGGGAAGATGAGTTTATATAGAGGAGAAAAGTGGCAAAATGTAGGATTGAATATTGACCATTGGATTGTGTTAGGAATAATGGAAGGTGGAGATTAAAAGTAAATAAATAAGAAAATTTTCTAAATTCATTTATTTCAAAATTTTAATATAATAGTAATATAATATAATAATAATAAAAAGTTATGTGAGTAACGGTCAAATAAAATTCAAAATTTATTATAAATATAATAATATAATAATAATAAAAATGATGTGAGTAATTACCAAAATTTTAAAATATAATAATATAATAATATAATATAGTAATAATAAAATTCGATGTGAGTAACGGTTATATTCAAATTTATATTTTGTAAAAATAATTTTATTTAGAAATATAATAATAAGAAAAACTCCACGATTTGTTACTCTTCCAATATTATAAATGTCATACTTTGATATATTTTGATTTTGTTGCCACATCATCACGTCGGGTATGTTGTCTCGACTCTAATTTCTTCGTTTTAGCTCTGATTTGAGTAATTGAAAAAGTTGTTGTAATCGTTATTCCCGACCTTATACTGTGGACAGTTCAAAAAACTGAAAATAGTTTATAATTAAAAGTAGGTTTGTTATCATCAAAACATCAATAATTAATTCATTGAAATTAATTAATGTGAGATCAAGGGCCAATAAGCCAACACACACTGCCTATGGTGAAGGACGTGTCGAGCCATGTGGCTGTAGAGGGACCGTCGACTTGAGTCTTATGTTTACTTGTATATTTCTTTTGAAAACCCCTTTCTTTATATATAAATTGCACATATAAATATTTAATTTATTTTGTTTTTAATGTAATTTGCTTAGTGTGATTCGCTATGCTTTGTTTTGAACTCAGAAAAATTTTATCGAGATTCTATGTTCGTGTCTACTTTATGGAAATTTTTTTCTACCTCCACCGAAATCTTATTGAATTTGATGAAAAATATAAATTAAAAACTTGAAAATCTCACCTCTCATTCTTCTCTGATTTTGGATGGTTTTGGACCATTCAAGAGTCCAGACTTAATATCCTTGATCTTGTGAGCAATTTTCATGAAGGGATCGTTGCTTGAAAACCACTCCTCACGACCAACACCCACGATAGTTTCCCTTGTTCCAAATTGCCTTTTCTTTCTATTAGTGAAAGTGGGATTGATTGAATGATTGATGAGATGATTGGATGATTGATGAGATGATTGAATTATGAAGAGCAAGAATGCTCTATATATATATACAGAGAATACAAAAAGATATTTAGAAAATTTACCTAAGAATCTGGAGAAAATCTGGTAACAAACTAGTAAACAAATAAAAACAAAATCTAATCAAATCAAAACTAAATCAAATCGAACTAAATCTAACTCCTAACTCTTTACGGAGATTTAGTTAGATACTAACTGACAGCAGTCTAAACAAATACGTGATCTTTAACACTCCTCCTTGTTTAGATGCTGTGAACTCCTAGCTTTTTTCTGAACACCCATCTTGCTCCAATTATCTTTCTGTTTAGAGGTCAATCAACCAACTCCCAGATTTTGTTTTTCTCGATCATCGAAAGCTCCTCCTCTGACAGGTGCATCATCAACCAAAGCATCTTGTCGTTCATCTTCAGAATCTTTTTGTCGTTCATCTTCAGACTCTTCTAACATGCTACCAAAGGTTAAATTGTTTGGTGCATTAGAAATCTGATTCACCTTCGTCAGTTCTTCCCAATTTCATTGTTTATTTTCAGCAAAATGAACATCTCGGCTCACAATAACACGACTAGTATGGGGTTGAAAAACTCTGTAAGCTTTGGATATAGTGTTATACCCAACAAAGATGCCAACTTCTGACTTTTTGTCAAGCTTATCACGCTTGACCTGTGGAATGTACGTGAGCAAAGACACTCAAATACTCTAACGAACTTTAAAGAAGGTTTGTAACTATACCAAACTTCAAATGGTGTCAGGTCCTTCACAGCTTTTGTTGGAATTCGATTTTGCAAGCACACAACAGTGTTTGCTGCTTTTCCCCAAAAACGTTTTGGAAGATCCTTCTCATGAAGCATGCATCTTGTCATCTCCATAATGAATCTATTCCTCCTTTCACTGACATCATTCTGTTGAGGAGTGTATGATGCTGTCAATTGATGTTCAATTCCAGCCTCTTCACAAAACCTGTTAAAAGTTTCTAAAGTGTACTCCTTGCTATTATCTGATCTGATAGTCTGAATCAAGCATGCACCTTCATTCTCAACTTTGGCTTTGAATTTCCAAAATACACCCGCAACTTCTGACTTTTTCTTCCGCAAGAATATCCAACACATTCTTGTTAGTTCATTAATAAAAGCAATGTAATAAAGATTACCATTTAATGATGGTGTTCGCTGAGGACCACAAAGATCAGTATGAACCAATTGCAGTTTTTTCGAGGCTCTCCATGCCTGTTTAGGAAAGGGTTGCCTATGTTGCTTCCCAAGATTACAAGCACGGTAAGGAGGCATGTCATCATCAATGTTAGTGAGTCCTTCTACCAGCTTCTTTGACTGCATCTGAAGCAAACCTCGATGATGGATGTGTCCAAGTCTTTTGTGCCAAATCTCAGTGGCACTAATTCTGGATATAAAAGCCGTCGGATTTAGAGCAAAGCCTTTTGCTTTCATTTTGACATTGAACAAGTCTTTGCCACTAGCATCTTTGATCAAGCACTGCTTATTCTCAAACAATACTTTATAGCCTTTATCAAGTAACTGACTAACACTTAAGAGATTTGGATCAATTTTAGGTACAAATAAAACATCTGGAATAAATTTTGTACCTTCATAACTTGTTATAGTTACTGTGCCTTTTCCCTTGACTTCCAAGTGTTCACCGTTGCCAATCCTCACTCTCTTATCTTCGGTGTCTCTTAATTCCTCAAAAGACTCCTTGTCATATGTCATGTGATTTGTGCACCCACTGTCAATCAACCAGCTCTCGCTTGATTCTTTGCCCGAGGAAGAAGTGACCATAAACAATTGATCTTCTTCTTCTTGATCAACTACCTGTGCATCTACTTCTTTCACCTGATCTTTGGCTTTGTAGATCATAGCTTCATGTCCAAGTTGATTGTATTTGGAGCAAAAGGTGTCAGGTCTTCTCCAACACTTGTATGGTGGATGACCTTTCTTCTCACAATGGCGGCAAGGTGGATAGGATTTTTTGAAACCTCCTCCTTTTGTCTTCTGATAATTGGCAAATGAATCTCCATACGTTAATTGATTTTTGAAATTTTTGTTGTTTTTATACCTGCTGCTGTCTTGATGCTTAACAAGTAAGGCACTTCAATCACCCCTTCTTGCCTCATAGACCTCCTTTACTCTTGTGCTTGTAAAGCATTCAAGAGCTCTGTAAGAGAAATCTTTGACAAGTCTTTGGTGTTCTCCAGAGTAGTAATGGTGGCTTCAAACTTCTCTGGAACAGTGACTAGCAGCTTTTCAACGATCCTGGAATCATTTAATACAGAACCAAGCAATCTCACCTTGTTGGCGATGTTGAGAAGTCTGTCAGAGTACTCTTTCACCGATTCAGACTCCTTCATCTTTTGCAACTCGAAATCCCTAATTAAATTTAGGGCTTTCATTCCACAAATCCTCTCATCTCCTTCATATTCGGCCTTGAGATAATCCCAGATTTCCTTTGCTGTTTTGAGGGACATTATTCGCATGAAGATCATTTGAGATACAGCGGCAAATAGGCAAGCTTTCGCCTTTGATTTCCTTGTCTTCTTTTCCTTCTGTACTTTGATTTGTGCTACAGTAGGATTTGCTAGAAGCGGAGGGACCTCGTAATCCTCTTCTATTGCTTCCCAAAGATCCAAGGCCTCCAAATAAGTCTCCATACGAACTGCCCACATTTGATAATTGTCTCCATCGAAAACTAGTGGTGCAATAGCGGAAAAACTGGATTCTCCTCCCATTTTGATCTCACAGATCCCTTAAGAAGATAGCTCTGATACCAATTGTTAGTGAAAGAGGGATTGATTGAATGATTGATGAGATGATTGAATTATGAAGAGCAAGAATGCTCTATATATAGAGAGAGAGAATACAAAAAGATATTTAGAAAATCTACCTAAGAATCTCACTACAAGAAATAATAGATACGATAGCATACGAAAAATGCTATCGTAGACTTTTTATAGCGTTTTTCGTACGTCGTGACAGTCCATGTTATTAAAAGTCAAAGACTTTTTATAGCGTCTTTTTATAGCTATAATAGACGCTATAATAGAGTATAAAATTATAGTTGATATACATTGTTATAAAAACTTTTCATAGCGTTTTATTAAAGTTATAATATGTTAAATATAGCTAAAATATTATGCTATCTTTAACTCATTATAGCATTTTTTTAATGCTATAATATAGTATTTACAGCTTTAATCTTATGCTATAAGAACGTTATTTGATCATTTAATTATTTAAATATCATTTCATTAATTATATTTTGATAAAAAAATTATTTCTAAATATTCCTTTTTAGCTAAATCCACACCTCAATTACTTCATTTCACATTAAATACTATAATTTTCATTCACAATTGAAACTTCATCATCTATTTGCATTATAAAATGAGTATTCAATAATTTCATAGTATAAAAAAATTGTTCAAACAATACAAAATAAATTATTCTCCATTATTTACATTGATGTTTGATTATCTCGAACCGCAATCATGTCATGCCTTTGTATTGCAAGTCTGGTAAGTATTGTACCTTTATATGTGTAGGTCAAGGGATCCTTGTGGTATTCTCATACTTTATAATTTCTTTGTTGTCTCCTTTGCTACGATATTCAACAAGACTATAAGTAAAAATAACATAAGCAAAAATCAAAAGTAGGTATGTCAGCACGATACCTAATATAGGAGTCTTCACATTTCTCGTGCAGTTTTTGGTACTGAGAAGTTTCTCCATGTCAACAACCAAAGTTACCATACTGAGAAGTTTCTCCATGTCAACAACCAAAGTTACCATCTACTGAGGAGCATGAAACTTTGATGCAGTAGAGGGATTGATTATATATATATATATAGCAAATTTTCTAATTTGCCTTCTAGTTGATTCCAGATTCCCTTCCCCTCTAGTCACTTGCACATCTTTTTGACTTATCAAATGGCATGCATCACCTCATGTTTTCTCTGCGTCTCATAAAGCGGGTCCCATCATTATACCTCGGTCTATCTTGAACTCACTGTGGTTGTGGCTCCAGCCTTCTCTGTCTCTCTGGCGACCTTTAAACGATCTCTCCATTTACAAACAACTCAGTTGCACCCAACACAAACAGTGACATTAATACATCATAATAACTCAAATCATTTATCAACTGCTAACGAGCTGAAGTCAATGACACACGAGCACTCAAAGCTAGACATCTTAAACCAACCGAACTCAACCAAATGAATAGAGAGCGCTCTGCTAAAGGGAAAATAATAAATGTCATTTTCAATTAATCCTGCAATTTCATTCATTAAAACCATTAACGATCTTGCATTAAAACCATTAAAACCATCTCAAACTCACGGAGCATTAACTTCACCCAATTATAATTATAATGCTACTAATAAAGCTATTGTAATAATTTAACTGTAGAGAAAACTGCAAAGATAATAGAGAAAACTGCAATGATAAGACTAAACAGTATGAGCAAACTTGATGTTTCATCTCTACTAATCTGCATCTCCACAAAATATAAAAAGCAAAGAACAGTCAAAGAGACATTTACGGTAAGTCCAATAGATTGATCTTCAAGTATTAAAATATAAAAAGCAAACTTGGAGGAGCAATCTCTTTTACTATCATACTGTCAACCAATAGATTGATCTTCAAGTATTAAAATAGGATGTAAGATAACTATTTACATAATTTATCAAGGAAAACTCAACACGACAAAGATTAATCTCCAACTATTTGGCATAATTTATCAGCCTACTAATTTTTTGAAAATGAAGTTCTTCTCTTCCGCTCTTAAAAATCAAAATCCCAAAATTGAGGGAATAGGCTATGTTGTTATGCCCAAAATCCCCAATCATACATCATTTTTTATCCAAAGCAACATATAACACATCTAATTCTACACAGAAACCATAACTCCTCGTTTTTTTTGTGGGTAAATATATATATATATATATAAAGCTTACTGGGCAAGGGAGCAAGATACTTTAAATGAACCCTAATCGAAAACCGAGAATTGGGAGGAGCACAGGAAAAGGAGAGAGAATGGCAACAAGGTTTGTTGTAGCTGACATTGGTGAAGCGGTGTGGCAACCCAGGCCGGAACAAAACAAACCGATTAAAAAAAATTAAAATCGTGTTACCAGTTGTTCTCTCCAGTCGTTCTACCAGTTGGCAAATCAGAGAAAGAAACGACATCGATGGAACTGATTCATAGCAAATTTTCATCGACAAAAACAATAATGTTTCCCATATGAACATTTTGGATTGTAATGAACAAACACACGAACATTTAACTTTGGGTTCTAGATTCATGCTCCTCTGTCCATCAATATTTTAAAGAAATTTTTCTAAATCTCATCGGGTGTCCCCAACCGAAAGCCATGTCCTTTGGATTGCTGAGGCAAATAGGGTAGAGCTGATAAAAGCCATGTCCTTTGGATTGCTGAGGCAAATAGGGCAGAGATGATAAAAAACAGTAGAATGTTGGCCCCTCACTTGTGTTTAACACGCTGAAGAAAGCCATATACTTTGGATTGCTGAGGCAAATAGGGCAGAGCTGATAGATAAAAAAAACAGTAGAATGTTGGCCCTTCACTTGTGTTAAACAAGCTGAATAATTTTATTATATTATATTATTATTATTATTATTGTTATTATTATTTTGTTGGTAATCAACAGTTATAGCACAGATTCAAAAGTAAGAAAATAAGAAATAAGGGTGAAATTTAGTTAAAATATAGAAGTAGTTACTAAAAAGTTACTAATCGTTTTAGAGGTACCTCTCCTTGGAATATGTATTAATCATTTGAGCCATGCTCAGGTTAATGTTCGAGACAATGAAAGAAGTCAGAGAATCAAACCAACAAACTTGGTTTATGCATAACAAACATGATATCAATAAAATCACGACAATATCCCGTAACATAAAACATATGAAACAGGAAAAGTAGTAATTGTTGCACGAGGCCAACCAACAAGAACCCTCAATTAGAATTGAAGTCGAAATGCAATTAGTATTATTTTTCTCGTAGGAAAACAGTAATGATTCTCTATACGAAAATGTTCATTTTGTACTAAAACTAACATATAAATCACAGACGTACCAGATTGAAGGCTGTGCTATAGATGGTGAGGAAACTGAGCTGGTCGACTTTAGGCCTGAACACAGCAAGTTGAGCGACTTTGAATGCCAAAGCCAAACGCTTATCGCAAGGCGAAAACTAAATCTGATCTTGAAAGAAAGGTTTCTTCAACGAAAACGCTACGCCAAAAGTAAATCCGTCTGATCTCTGAATCTTCGCATCCAAACAAGGACTGTATACATCGTTCGTATCCATCCCTTCCGCAACTAAAATCAATGCCATCGTAACCAAAGCCTCGGTCACTATGGACCATCCCTTCCTCAACCAAAATCAGCGTCAACGCCATCGTAACCAAAGCCTCTGTCACTACGGTCCACATTGCAGCAATTCTAATTCACTTATTCTCTTCACCATCTACAACCCTAAGAAAACACATAAAAAAACTGAGAATCAACCGAACCTAGCTGATTGAAATCATCGGCGGTAGCAGGTCGGGTCCTTCCTTGCCCGTTTTTTTCTTTTATTTTTTCTTTTCTTTTATTTTATTTTATTTTTACTTTTAATAGCGTTGCACACAAAATGCTATTCTCAACGGCTATTAAAGTAGGTTTGTTGGGGTGTCTGTAGAAAATCTGGTAACAAACTAGTAAACAAATCAAAACAAAATCTAATCAAGAACTAAATGTAACTCCTAACTCTCACGTAGATTTAGCTAGATACTAGATAACAGTCTAGACAAATAAATACTTGATCTTTAACGCTTCCTTTTTAATCTTCCTTTTCTTTTCTTCCCCATCCACTAACCAATTAATGAATTATAGGTAGGATGTAGATTCAACCGAGGATCCAACCTGAACCAACCCAAATTATAAAGGTTGAATTGGGTCCATAGGATTGTGGGTTGGGTTAGATTTTTTTTAGACCCGAACTAGTTTGAGTTCGTTCGAGTTCAGTTAAAGGACCGGGTCACTTCGTGTTCTTTGCTCTTTCAAAATTTCACTTAGTATGTTTTCACTTTGCAGCTTGCTGTCGCCCTCGCCGATGCCAGACTCCAGTCCAGCTAGCTTTCTCGGTGCCTGTACGTTTTCCAAGTTCCATCGGTCTTCAATATGTTCAAGTTTCATCGTCTTCCAAGTCGTCGTCACCTTTGCCCTTTCACTTAGAGTATGTTTTCACATAGTCAGGTTCAATCTCATCTGACGTCTTTAACAATAAGCATTTGGTTGTTGGTTGTTGGTTGTCTCAATTCTATGGGTAGTAAGTTGTCTTAGTACTTTAAAGAGGTGAAAATAAAATATTGTCAGTTTAATGAAGTTGAAGATACAAGCCGTTAACCTTAGTAAACATATATATATGAAAATGAAATCCATGTAGCAATGTTTATGAAACTCATGTTG